GGGGGGGGGTTTGTCTGTCCCCGTTGGGGGGGTTGGTTTCACAGCCCCCCTCCCCCCATCGCTGTCGCAGCCGTTTCCTGCCGCGGGAAAGGTGCCAGCAAAGGTCACGGGCCCGTGGGTGACAAACAGCCCTCCCCCAGCCCCTCCCGGCAGGTGGGGAGGGGGCTCTGGAACCCAGCTGGGGTGGCAGGGGGGGCTCACCTTCGGTGTGTGTCGTGACAGAGGGGGTCTGTGTCTCTGCGTGGGGGAGCTGGGGGAGTCCTGAGTATCCTGGGAGGAATCTGGGGGGGTCATGAGTATGTGGGGGGATAATAACAATCCTGGGAGCATCGGGGAGGGGTGGTCCTGCATCCCATGGGAAGCAGCTGGGTGGGTGCTGAGCCCCCTTGGAAGAACTGGGAAGGCCCTGAGCGCCCTTGGAGGCAGCTGGGGGGGTATCAGCCCCTCTGGACTCACTGCAGATGGGGGGGTCCCACCTCACCTGGGCTCACTGTGGGGGGACTCGGCTTCCCAAGGGAGGAGGTCCCAATATTCCCCCTCGAGGTCACTCAGTTGACATTGAGGGGGGTCTCACCTCACCTGGGCTCACTGTGGGGGGGGGTGTTCAAGCTCCTCAGGTGACATTGGGAGTGGGGGGGGTCCCAGTTCACTTGGGGTCACTGTGGGGTGTGTCCCGGCCCCTCAGGTGACATCGAGGAGGGTCCCAGGCCCCCCCCCCCCCCCAGCCCCTCAATTCCCTCATGGGGGCGGTGGGCGTGGCCTGCCCCCTCACGGGGGTGGGCGTGGCCTGCCCCCTCACGACGGGGCACTCGCGCCGTGTGCACGTGCGCTCCCCGCTTTGCGCATGCGCGCCCCTCCCTTTCCCGGGCTTCCTCAAGCCCGCCAAAGCCGCGCGCTCCCATTGGCCGCCCCTTTCCCGCCCTGCGCGCGTGACGCCCGTCGCCACGGCAACCCAGCCGGGGACGGGGGGCAGCGCGCACGCGCGGGGTGGGCGGGGCTCCGGCGGCGGCGCGCGCGCTTTTTCTTCCCTCTTCCCCTCCCCCCCCCACCTCCCTCAGCCGCCTCTGCGGCCCCGGATCCGCCGCGCCATGAGCGGGGCCGGGCCTGGGCCCGACCTGCCGTCCCCGGCCAAGCTCCGCCGCCTGGACGAGCGCAGCGGGACGGGCCCCGCCGCTGTTCCCCCGCGCCGGGAGATCTCCCGTCTCCCCCACCCCGGTGAGGGCCGCGGCGCGCGCGCGCGGGGCGGGGGCGGCGGGACTGGGCATGCGCAGGGAGGCGGTGCCACAGCGCCCCCTGGCGGCGGAACGGAGAGTGCAGGGGAGGGGCCGGAGACCCCCGAGGAGGGGATGGAGACCCCAAAGGAGGGGGTGGAGACCCCGAAAGAGGAGACGGAGTCCCCTAAGAGAGGGATGGAGACCCCAATGAAGGGCTTGGAGACTCCCAAAGAGGGGATGGAGACCCCAAAAGAGGGGATGGAGATCTCAGTGGAGGGGATGGAGACCCCTGGGAATGAGAAGAAGACCCCCAAGGATGAGATGGAGACCCACAAGGATGGGCTGGAGACCCTCAAAAAGGGTGTAGAAAGCCCAGTGAGGGGCCTGGAGACTCCCAAGAAAGGGCTGAAGACCACCGTGGAACCAAGCAAGCTGGAGACAGCCATCACCTCGTGCTTGGAGCAAGAAAACGGGGGTCTGGAGACCACCAGAGGGGCCGCAGGGAGCCTGGAGACCACCAATGGGTGCAAGGAGAGCCTGGAAACCACCGTCAGCCACTACTTGGAGCGAGAAAATGGGAATCTGGAGACCCCACTGGAATCCAAAGAGAGCCTGGAGACCACCAGGGAGGTGCCCGTAACCACCAACGGGCGCAGGGGGAGCCTGGAGACTGCCGTGAGCCGGTGCCTGGAGCAGGGCAGGAGGAGCAAGGGGGGCTCGGAGACCACCAGCAAGGCAGAAGGGGGGCTGGAGAGCGACGTTCCCCCCACCAGCAGGGGCCTGAAGACCACCAGCAGGCGCAAGGCCGGGCTGAAGACCCCCGGGAGAGCCAAGGGGAGTGTGGAAACCACGGGAACCCAGTGCTTGGATCGGGAGAGGAGCAGGAACGGGGACCTGGAGACCCCCAGAGAAGACCTGGAGACTGCCAGGGAGGGCATGGAGACCACCGGGGAGATCTTGGCAGGTCTGGAGACCACCATGAGGCCCAAGGGGAGCCTGGAGACCACTGTTACCAGCCACGTGAAGTGGGACAGAGAGCAGGAGGAGGGGCTGGAGATGACCACTGATCCCACCAGGGCTGTCCTGCGGGGACTGGAGCCCACCCCGATGGCCTGTGTGGGGCAGAGCCAGGGTGGCCCCATGCTCCCAGAACTGGGGGGGTTCCCGGGGCCCGTGGAGGTCCCGGACCCGGCGGATGTCCCACCACCCAAGTGCCGGGAGGCCGAGGAGAGCGCGGTGATCTCGGTGGGTGAGGATGAGGAGGAGGAGGAGGAGGAAGAGGAGGGGGAGGAAGAAGGCCCGGGGCGGTACCTGGCAGCCCTGGAAGCCGTGCAGCTGCAGCTCGAGGCCGTGGAGGAGGAGGCTGCCCGAGCCTTCCGCCGGCTCCACGCGCGCTTCGGGCTCCGGCGCCGGCCCCACCTGCAGCGCCGCAACCGCCTCATCCAGCACATCCCCGGCTTCTGGGTCACCGCCGTATCCTGGGGAGGGGGAGCCGGTCAGGGGGGTGGGGGGCACGCCCGGGAACCCCCAGACCCACCTTTCCTTGACCCCAGACCCCCCAGTTCCTGAACCACCCACAGCTCTCAGCCATGATCAGCGACCGCGACGAGGACGCGCTGAGCTACATGACGAGCTTGCAGGTGCCCTGGGGGGGCCGGGGGGGGCGGGTGAGGGGGTGTTGGACCCCCTCCCCCCCTCCAAAAGTGACACGGATGGCCCTGCAGGTGGAGGAGTTCGGGCAGAGCCGCCCTGGGTGCCGCATCCGCTTCTTCTTCAGCGTCAACCCCTATTTCCAGAACGACGTCGTGGCCAAGGAGTTCGTGCGAGGCCCCTCCGGTGGGTGAAGGGGCCCCAAAACAGTCCTGGGACCCCCAGAGTGGGGGTGAGAAGGGTCCCCCAAACCACCCCTGGGACCCTCAAACTGTGTGTCAAAGTCTCCCAAAACAGCCCTGGATCTCCCAAATTGGGGATGCAAAGGCTCCCACCCACAGCTGGTTTATTTTAGACCCCTTGGGTTGCAGGGGGGAGTCCCCCAGATCCCCCAGCCCCAGGAGGGGGTTTGGGGGGTCTGCAGTGACCCCCCCCTGTTTGCTCCCCTCCCCCCAGGTCACCTGGTGTCCCACTCGACCCCGATCCGGTGGTGGCAGGGACAGGACCCCCGTTCCCGGCCCCACAAGGGCCCCCCCGGCCCCCGGAGCTTCTTCGCCTGGTTTGGGGATCACAGTTTCCCTGCGGGGGATCGAG